TGGCTCCGGAGATGTTTGGCAAAGCTCCAGACTCCGGGAAAGGAGCTTCCACAAAGAGAACACAGGTGGGATCCACTCCCCGTGTGCAGCTTCCGGTGGATCAAAAGGAGGGACAGGTGAGCAAAGGATTTCCCGCACTCGGAGCATGTGGAAAACCTCTCTTGTTTCTTCTGAGGGGAATTCTGTTCAGAGGGTTTTCCCCCCGGTATCATTTCTGGAGGCTGTTCACTTGCAGTGTGCTTTGCAACCAGAGACAATTTGCAAGCAAAACTTTGGACACGGGTTTTCTCAGGCACCTGTCGGATGAAGGAAAAAAGAACTGAAGAAAAATCTATGGAGATTCTCAGTCATTCAGATCATGGTTGTCCCAAGTGTTTTTTTTCCCCCCCAAAGAGACAGGTGGACTTTCTGGTTTTTCTTTGGAGACAACGGGCTTCTCATTCAAGAAGTTTCTTCAGCTCTGACTGGACAGTGGATAATGGAAGGATTTAGATTCCTTTCAGACAGATGGTCATTTGTATCCCTTCTGAGAGCCCTTGAGGCCACTTGGAGGTTCCTCTGTGTCCTCAGGGTCACCTGAATGGTGCAAATAGGTGTGGAGCCTTCTTGGAACTGCCGAAAGGACTGTGTTGTGGAGCTGTGCTTTCTGCGGGATGTTTCCACCCTGTGTCCCTTCACTGTTGAACACGGGCGCAGGCTGTTGGAGATGAGTCTGTGTTGTTTGCATTTCAGACTGATGCGCAAATGGTTCCTGTAGTCTGCAATTTTTCTCTGGAAATCCATTCATATTCTGACACCATTTGGATGCCTCCAAGTGGCCTCAACAACTCTCTAAAGCAACGCAAATGGCCAGCTGTCTGCAAGGAATCTAAAGCCTTCCACTCCCCACCATCCAGTCAGAGCTGAAGAAGCTTCTTGGATGAGAATTGAAACATCTTCCAAGAAAAACCAGAAAGCCCTACTGAAAAAGCACTTTTTGGCACAACTGAAGAAAAGATGAAGATTCATCAAGTCTGAAAATATCTCAAACAATAGCAAGGAGACATGGTCCCTGGAGCAGCAGTCACCAAACGGTGGTCCGTGGTCCGCTAGAAAATTTTGGTGGGCTACAGAGAAATCTTACCCCCAGAGCACCACCATCCCCAAAGCAATTAATCCAGGCTGCACAGAAATACAAGGCTGCGCTGCCCACATGGCCTGCAGGAATCCTCCCTGCCCACTCACTCTTTACCCGACAAACTTACCTGCTAAGTTGCTATTTTTCCTTTTTCCGACCATCAGCTGTTCTGCTGTGCCGGAAGATTTAAATTAGCTAGGAAGCAGGAAATGGTTGGATTTCTTGCTTTCCAGCTAATCTTTAGATCTTTGGCTCTGCTTTTAAGCATAGCTGAACCTCCCTTAGGACTGAAGTTTCTATTATTCAGTGTAGAGTCACGGCAAGCAAATTTTAGGTGACAGACTCAACTAGCTGATGGCAGGTAGATAGATCACCAAATGATTCTGTGAGCAACTCAATCTGCCTGCCTGCTTTGCCTGATTTTGGGTAAAAGTTGCTATTTTTTATTTTAAAAAATCAATATATTTATAATATTTATAATATTTACATACAAGCCATGTCCAGCCAGTCACATGACCACCAAGCCACACCCACAAATTAGGCCACGCCCACAGAACCGGCTAGTGGTCCCTGGGATTTAAAATTATGAATTTGGTGGTCCCTGAGGTCCAAAAGTTTGGCGACCCCTTGCGCTGGAGGGATACCCAAAGCCTCAATTTCATTCCAGCTGAAAAAGTACGCCATTATCCTCCCTACGGAGCTGACTTGAGATTTCCCCATCCATTTTCTTAAGCAAGAGGGGAATGATGGCCAACAGAGTCGCTGTTGCTCCCTGTTTGCCTGTCTGACCTGGGACAATTTCTGCCTTTTCCTTTCGCTCGGTTGAGGGGGCTGAGACCCACTGCAAGGACCACTCCACCTGACTTACGTGTGTCAAGTGGGTCCATATATAGCAGAGGTCTCCAAACTTGGCAACTTTAAGACTTGTGGACTCCAACTCCCACAATTCCTCAACCAGCCATGCTGGCTGAGGAATTCTGGGAGTGGAAGTCCACAAGTCTCAAAGTTGCCAGGTTTGAAGATCCCTGATATATAGAGACAGTATATCCTATGTAGGTATTGATGGACACAGTTCTTTAGGCCACTGCTGGCTAACGTGAACTCCTATACAATCCCTAGATCTTGCCCAGCTTGACAGACCGACTCCAATTCCAAGTTACACTCGGTAATTTAATCAGATCTGAGCAAAAATGGGTTCCCGCCCCAACCAGAAGATGATTAAAAAATATATCAAGTTTTATTAGAATTTAAATTAGAAGAAGAAAAAGTAAAAGAAACGATGGTGGTATGGATGAAAAACTTTGGTCATAGCATAAAATTAGATGATTGGCAGAAAGTATGGAATAGAAATAAAAAAAATGACATTAGCGATACCCTTTAAAGAAAATCTGTATAAATTATTTTATAGATGGCATATACTACCATCAAAATTGGCAAAAATGAACTCTAAATTTTCCCCTATATGTTGGAAATGTAATGAAGAAAGAGGAACTTACTATCACTTATGGTGGAGTTGCAAGGAGGCCCAAAAATATTGGCAAAATCCACATGTGGATAGAAATAATGTGTGGAATTAAAATACTGTACAATACAGGCCTGAGTTCTTTCTGTGGGGAATTAACACTGGGAAATACGATAATGAAACTCTGTATTTAATGATTCATGTAATTACTGCAGCAAGGTTGGCATATGCACAGAACTGGAAAAATAAAGACATTCCAAATGAATTGGAAATATTGAAGAAAATCACAATGTGCGCAGAAATTGATAAATTAACAAAAGAACTAAAAAATAAGGAAGATTCGGATTATTATAAAACGTGGGAGAAATTTTATGGTTGGCTAGAGATAAGGAAGATCAATGAGAATAAGGAATGATTATAAGTATGTACTGTATTTTATTTAAAGTGTATAGAGGAGAATTATGTAATATTACTATTGGATTTAGCGAAGTAATGACAATGATTGATGTTAGGGAGACTGTACCACGTTCAACTTTTTTATTGTAAGAATTGTCCGTCTTTGTGTTTGTTTAATAAAGAATTAAAATTAAAAAACAAAGATGGATTCCCCCCCATAAGGCTGAGAACCTACAATATTTCAGCAAGCATTTCTATTTTATTTGCTTATATAAGTAAGGAAATGCCTATTCCCGTGATGGCGAACCTATGGCACGCGTGCCACAGGTGACACACAGAGCCATTTGTGCCAGCACGAGCTGCAAACAAACTTACCTCACTGCACATGTGCACACCTCACAGCTGATTTTTGGCCAGTTTGAGGCCTTTTTCGGCCTCCCACAGGCTTGAAGAAGGCTTCTGCAGGCTTCTGTAGGCTTTGCAGACCAAAAAGTAGCCCCGTTTCATCACGTCCTGTTTTTCTGAAAATACTGGAAGTGATGAAACAGGACTAGTTTTCAGCCTGCTAAGCCTGCAGAAGCCTTCCTCAAGCCAGCTGAAAATCAGCTGTGAGGTGCAGCGCAGGTAAGGGGGGTGGGTGGGGATTGTGGGCGCACATATACGGGGTGTGTGGGGGGGACTGCACATTGCCTTCTGGGTGCTGGCACGCAAACGTGAGCATGCAAGTGCATGCACAATTTTAGGCACAGGAGCCCCAAAAGGTTAGCCACCACTGGCGATTCTCTGTATAATAGCTACTAAAGTAAATAGTTACTAAAGTTACTATCACATCCTCTCATTTGTGAATGTAAGCAATTTCAGCAAACTTTATTGAAATAAATTGTGATTTCCAGAGAGGCCAGAGCAATTTTCTTTTTCAAACCTGTTGCTCTGTCACACTCAAGGCATCCGTCTCCCAATTCACATAATTTAAGATGATTAATGTTTGTCCGATCAACACTAGAATGGCTTCCCGTGGTTCCTTTACAGCAGAGGTCTCCAAACTTGACAGCTTTAAGACTTGTGGTCTTCAACTCCCAGAATTCCTTCTCCACCCATGTGAGCTCAGGAATTCTGGGAGTTGAAGTCACAAGTCTTAACGTTGCCAAGGTTGGAGATCCTGGGGGTAGAGGATCTTCTCTGTGGTGGATCTATGGCAGGGGCCTTCAAACTTGACAGCTGTGGACAGCTGAGACTTGTGGACTTCCAACTCCCAGAATTCCTCCTCCACCCATGTGAGCTCAGGAATTCTGGGAGTTGAAGTCCACAAGTCTTAAACTTGCCAACTTTGAAGAGACCTGAACTGGACCTACCCAATTCCAGCAATTCCAGTTCTTTATACTTTTTAGCCTCCAGTCTCCTCCTCATCCTTTATTGATGTTCACAGACTTTCTATTCAAACAGACTTCAAAGAGACCTTTTGGCAGGAATTTACCCAAAAGTCCTTCCTGGATATACCCGGGGAGCCTTGGCCGGGCGAGGAGGGGGCAGATCCAGCCCGGGGAGGGAGCCCCCTTTGCGCCCCCTGGAAGGAAGGGAGGGATCCGCTCCCTGCAGGCGACGCCAGAGCCGGATCTCCCCGAGGAAGAGCCGGCAAGCCGAAGAGCGGGATCCGCTGCAGCTCCCTTCCTCCTGGCAGGGAGGGGAGAAGATCTCCCGGCTGGAGAGCAGCCCCACCCGCCCCGAGCGGGATCCAGAAGCCCCTCCCGAGGGATCCAGCGCCGATCCTCGCCCGGGCGAAGCGGGACTCACAGAGGGGAGAGGCGATCCAGCGAGGGGGGGATCTCCTAGCTGGCGGAGACGGAGCCCTACCTGCCCGAGAAGCCGCCTTGGAAAGGATCCACCGTGGAGAGACCGGAAAAGACTCGCTGGCCGACGCGAAAGAAAGCAGCTCGGAAGAATGCAGCGGTGGGGGCGGGGCTTCGAGTTCCCCTTGGGCTCC